AAGAACTAATTGGCACTTATTCAACAGTATGCACTTATAGAAATTCTACCCTGTTTTATAGTCTGTTCTTGGAATAGAGAGACTTTAAGAAAATGGAATATTTGTAAAAGTGCCAGAAATCTAGCTTGTTGGAGGAGTCTTGACAAACTACTGTGTAAGAAGTCCAACTGACCATAAAATGGTACAGGCAAGAATGTGTAAATTTCCCAGTGGTGGGAAATTTGGAAGGAAGAACTCTGGCAAACTTCAGAAGGTAATGTAGATATTCTATCCTGGTGGCTTCTTCTTTTTTTTTTAATCACAAAGAGGTTCTCATTGAATAGACCCAGCACCTACTATGTGCCAGACATTGCTTTATATATGATAATAACCACCTGACTGCTTCTGACATCAAGGGATTCAGTATAACATTATATCCATTTTATTTTATTTTATAAAGAAATGAGGTCTTGCTATGTTGCCCAGGCTAGCCCTCAACTACTGAACTCAAGCTATCTTCCTGCCTCAGCCTCCTAAGTAGCTAGAGCTACAAGCCTGGGTCACTACACCCAGGTGTACCCATTTATTAGATGAGGGAAGTGATATAGTTTCTCAAGATCTCACAGTGGATAAGCAACACCACCAGGATTTGAACTGAGGCAGTCTGACACAAAGACATTAATGATTTAAATCACAATGACATATAAGGATACTCCATAAAAGGTAAAGATTTCTTTGCTTAATAGCAAGCTTTCTGCCTTCTTTTTTGACAGATGTGAAGAAGATTAAGGATTAAAATATAAATAACTCTTTTGAAAAGTCTTTCCTCCCATGCATTTTAACTTTTCCAAAAGAGTCATACAGGCTTGCATTTCTTATTTTATTTAACCAACACTTATATAATGCTTCCAATGTACCAGCCACTGGTCTAAGCAGTTTTTCAAATTCCTTTAACCCCATGAGGTAAAGACTATTATTGTTCCCATTTTTCCTGATAATGAAGTTGGGGTATTTACTGGCTAAGCCACTGAGCAATCCTTATGCATTCTGAGCTGCCATGTTTCAACTGTAAAACTGGGGAGTAATACTTCATTCAGATATTGACCCTTTTAGTTATGTGCTAAATTTTTTATGTCCAACATGTTAGATATTTGTAGGAAATGATTATAATCAGTGAAACTATATCACTGTGGAAATAAGAAACACAAGTAAACAGGAGACAATTTACCAAGATAAAATCTCACTGATGATTATATATTACATACAATAGCATATCAAATAGTAACATATGATAATGTATAATGATGTAAATGTACATTAAGCATCACAATAATATTTGAAGTATATACAATATCTAAATAAGAGCTGAAGTATTTTCACCTCTTTGATTTATTCAAATACTAAAAGTTAAACCATGTGAAAATACTAAGAGGAAGACATAACCACAACTTAAATAACAAAAGGCTCAACTTGAATTATTAACATAAAAAATTTCTGGAAAATACAATTGGGGACAGTTGATCCTATATAAAAATCTTCCCAGTGTGGCTTATACTGATAGGATTTTTAAATTCACAGAAAATTCCTTACTTAGAATCTACAAATCTTAGCTTTTATTAATTGTTCCCATGTTGCAAGTGACCTTGAAAGAAGAACTCAGAAGGCACAATAGAATTTCTAGGTGGAAAGAATTTATATTCTGATTTCTGAAGCCATTGCTTTCCTGTATACGTGGGCATTGATAATGTAAACTGTCTTTATTGATAAACAGATTTCAAAAATTGGCACATTAATAAATAATTTGGTTGTAGTTTTAAAATTTCTTTACTTTTTTAGCTGACACATAAAAATTGTACATTTTCTTGAGGTACTATATGATGCTTACATGGACAAAAATATGGTGTATTGATCAATGGTTTGGTTGTGATCATATCAGGCATGTGCAAAGTCGTTAGGATGCATTTTTAGTAAGTTTTTATAAGGAAGTAAGATGAGAAAATCTTATACTCAAAGTCTTTTTCAAAGAAAATAAGCCCATAGTGCTTTTTGACTTAAAGTAAAGAAATATCTTTAGACACATGCATGTGTGGAGATGATGTGCTCTCAAAATGCAGGCACTGAGGAATGGCATTCTAGTCACGTGACAGCTCAAACCAAGAACTGAAGAGGTTCTTTGTTTCTCAAAGGAATTGGAAGACAAAAGACAGTCCCTGGTTCTTCCAACTTGGTAAGATTTCTGTTGCAAATATCAAACTCTGGCTCCTGGAATTGAGCCAGAAAGATCCAAGCTTGAAATAGGAATAACAAATTTAATCTCCACATCTACTTTCTAAAACCATCCTGCCTTGAGAAAACAGGTCTCATACAGATTTAATGACAGAATTGACTGTGACTTCATTAACTAAACCGTACTGTCTGGTACAGTAATCACCAGGTGCACATGGCTTGTTTTGTGTTTGTTTGTTTCTTGAGACAGAGCCTCTAATGTCTCTATGTAGCCTAGGCTAGCTTCGAACTCATTATCCTCCTGCTTCAACCACCTACCATTCTTTTATTTATTCATTCATTATTTATTTATTTGTTTGTTTGTTTTAAGATTGGCACTGTACCACCTCAGTCATTCCTCTAGCCCTTTTACTCTGCTTATTTTGAGATACAAAGTTTTGCCTTTTGCACAGGCACAAACTGCCATGCCCAGCTTTTTCTACTGAGATGGGATCTCGCCAACTTTATTGCCTTCCATGTAGATGGGATGACTGGTGAGTAACACCATACCCAGTTACTGGTTGAGATGGAGTCTCACAAACATTTTCCCTAGGCTGGCCTCCAACTGCAGAATCTCAGTTTCCCAAGGAGCTAGGATTACAGACATGAGACATTGCTTCCGGCTTGCATGTGGCTTCTTAAATGTCAAGGACTTAAAATAAAATAAAGATTTTTTTTGTCCTTCAGTGCTACTAGCCACATTAAAGTGCACAACTGCTGGTGGCTATGATTCCTGGGCAGTAGGTTACAGAAGACTGCTGCATCACACAAACTTCTACTGGAAAGCGCCAAAGCTGATCCAAAGTCTCACCAACACTGGCATTGGCTGGAAAAGCTATTGTTCACAGCATTAAATGCAAGGACCTGAGAGTGGGCAATGCAGACGTACATCTCCGGAATGTGGTTTGAGATCTGATTGGCAGGAAACCCTGACACACTCAGCTTCAGGAGCTGGGATGGCAAGTGAGAGCTTCATGCCCGCAGCTTAGCCCAAGCAGGGATTCATCCCTGTCCATCTTGTAAAGTACTAAACCCTCCAATTGAAGCATCATGTAGAAGCAAAAATATCCAGGTCCAGTCTTGACAGCAGGCTGGGGTAGGGAAAAGATAAGGAAGTATTATGAGTAGAAGCTCCTGAAAGCATGGTGAGAGAAGGACCCAGAATGAAATCTGCTTCCCACCTGCAGCTAAGTCCAGTCCTGAGTGTGCCATGTGAGGATGGACTGACTGCCACGGGCAGCAAATCTGGAAAGATATCACAACCACTGTTGCTGAAGTAGCACACATAGCTCTCAAAGACAGACTGATACACTGAGTGCCAAAAGAATGGTACAAGAGTAAAATGTGACTGGGAAAGAGGTAAAATTTATGATAGAAAAGACTTTTGAGACCTAAACTGTATACTATGAGTATCTCTTATCCCTCTTGTGGCCCAACTCTCATTCTCACCATAAGAACGGAGCACAACAGGCAAAACTGTTATCTTACACACTGGCTGCCTCCTTCCTTGGCATTACAGGGAGCAAGGACCTTTGGAGGCATGACCTAGATGCCTGATGGGGCTTCAGAACTGGGTCTGAGGACTTAGTCCCAAAGAGGAATGGGTAGATGACTTTTCAAGGTGACAACACTTTCAGATTTACACATTTAGCATGTTTGTATAAAAAAATCCAATCTCTATTTTACAGAATCATAGTACTCATAGGCTATATCTACACAGATAGAATAGAATCTGAAAAGCTAGGGCAAGTGCTGAGTTCCCTTCCATTGACAGTCCTGCAAAAGAGTTTTCTCCTCCCAGCCACCCAGATGGTTGCAGATTTCAATAAAATTCCAGGTACTGTGTGGCATTAGGCTTTGTTCCCCAAAGAAACAACTTTCTTTTCACTCTCCTTTTATCTTCCCCAACTTCTTATGTCCATGATCACCAGTAAAACTTTCTTGTGAATTCATTCAATATAGAAATGTATCTAACGGGTGATTTAGGTAAGTGATAATATGGGAACAATGTTGTATGAGCAAGTTAATTAATTTGTTAATTGTGAACACTACAAGAGAGTTGGTTAGGCTGTTAGTGATTGAACAAGCAAAACCAAAGAGCAGGATTTAAAAGTCACTGTTAACCTGGGAGAAGGGTTTTATGACATGATCAAAAGCTTTGACCTTGGCTGTATACTATTGACATTATTTTTGCATTCCCTGAAATGCAGATAGCAAAATTATTAACTTTTTAGATGACATAAAAACCAGAAAGAAAGCTTCTGCAACAAGCTAGTGTTTCTCACATATGGAATATTTGTTAAAAGTACAGATCTCTGGACTCTCCTAGAAGGGCCTGGGAATTTGGCTTTCTGCAAATTTTCTAGGTGATAAACATTCCACTAAATCTATGAAGTTTTGACTGTAACGGATTCAGAGTGACAAAATGTACCACAGATGGAATCATCGTGATGCAGATGAATTTTGACCAGAAGAATTATACCTCCAAAATAGACACAAAAGGGCTGATAGAGTGGCTCAAGTGGTAGTGCTATGAGTGACTGCATAAATAATTAACTAATTTTTGCCTTGACTTAAATACAAAATGAAAAATTGCTTTAGGAATTTATAAGATTTATGGAGACTATTTTTCGTAGTTAACACATCTTCCTAGTTTCAGAATGTCCTTAGCACAAATTTAAGGTCCTCGAATTACACTGTCCCTAGCCTTTACTATATCTGTTACTTCTGCCACACATGAGTAAGTAGATTCTTACCACAGAGATGGAGTTAGAAAGCAGTGTCCCATCCTGGCCCAGCATGTTGGAAACGGTGATCTCAGGTAGTTCCATGTTTTGTGGGTGGAATGGTAGCAGGCCATTGTGGTTCATTGGGTGGCACAGAGAATGGTAACCAGACTCAACTTCATTCAGGTGCACCAGCGAGTGGTCGGGGAGGGAAGGAGGAGTGATTGGTGGAATGTTAAAGTCTTCACTTTCCAGACTTGGACCCGGGTAGGACTGAAAAGACAAGAGTGACATCGTTGCAAATAGTCACCTCTTTGTTCTTCATCATCAAGAACAGTTGCACATGAGCCTCTGGATGTAATTACAAGCAGCATTATGGATTTAGCCAAGATGTCTCAAACATTCAGATTACCTTGCTGCTATTTCACTATTACACATGGAAGAAAACTGACTCAAAGGCATACCACTTCTAGTATAAAGACGGCTTCCATTAGGTGGTTTCATTTTTCCAGGAAGTTGAATTCAAACAGATTTCAAAGGTCCCATTAAATTTTTCCAGAGTTTTAATCTAGCTGAATACCTTTTTCGTGGGAATTGTGGGGAAGGAAGGCAATTTACAAAATTAATGTTTGATCAAACATGTTTCATAGAGCTCCCTACTGCTTAAGATTATGGGATGTAATAAAAATGAATTCCAGAAGTCTGCAGCAATTGCTTTCGGGGTTTTCAAAGCTACTTGCTTGCAATTGTCAAAAAAAAGTTATTACTAAAGAAATAACTTAAGCATGTTCTCCAAATATGAGTGCACTGAAAGTTTGATATATTATAAAAATATCATTGAAAGCTAATCTTATCACAAAGATTTTATCATCAAAATAAAAGGGAAGAGTGCTTTCATGATTTCTATTATTTATTTGATTTTCACCTAAAAGCTGATAAATAGTATTGGAAGCATTTAAGTTCGCTGCAGCCCATTGTGAAAGGCAAAATAATAGTAATATTATTATAATACTAATACTGAAATAAAAGTCAATCAGCAAAATAAATAGCATTAATACACCTGGGGATTTCTTTTTATAAACTAGCTTAAGATAAAATAGGGTAGAAGGAAAAGGTTGTATGAAAACACTCCTGATTAAAAGTGGCTGAAATGTGATAAAGGTTGAGAAACAGAAGGAAGATGTGAATAAAGAAACATTGTTCACTATTAATATCAATGTTCAGTGATATTTAGCTGTCCTTCATAGAATAGGTATCATAATATAAAAGGAAACATTTTGGTCTAGATAATTTTTGCAAGTCTGTCTATCTTTCAAATTAAGAAGGCTTTCATAGCTTTGGGTGCATGGCTAACAAGGATCCCCTTGTTTCACTGCACAGCGTCTGTTATAGTGTACAAGATTTGAAATGAGCAGGCAGAGGTTGGGAGCCAAAGAAAGTAGTGTAAGATATTCATTGGGTGTTCAGCGAATAAGCTTCATGCTTCCTCATCCAAGTGCCTGGGGTTATTTTTTCCAGATGCCGTCTATTTGTCTAACAGAAAGAAAATCTTCAAGTGCACTTGCTAAATGTTGTACAAGTTTTGATATATTAGTTTAGGTGTTTTCAGGGACAAGATTAAATGAAGAGCTGCTTTGAACATCTGGAATTTAGACTTTGTGATGGAGGACAAGTATGGGTTTAGAGTCTCGAGGTATATGACTGGAATATTTGATCCCTGCCAGTAATTTATCCTAAATAGTTAACATTCTGCTTAAAAAAAAAAAAAAAAAAAAAAAAAGAAGCCACCAGCTCTAAAAGCTCATCACCTGTTACAAAAGTCTTCTGTTAACAGTGTATATTTCTTGTCTGAAAAATATGTTTGTGCTCTGTGTCAAAGTTGCAAGTTTGATCAAATTCTCACGTCTGATATATTTTAGACCTGAGGGTACAGAATAAACTATCAGCTCCTTTTACAAATACTCAGATAATAAGTATAAAAGCTGCCCAGTAGGGAAGTGGAAGAAGAAGCATTTTTACTCAAGCCTATTTCATATAAAGTACTAAGCAGAGTCCTTTCACTGTGTTTTCTTCATTTAAACCTTGCAATAATCCTTTGTGTAATTATTATTACTCCCATTTTCCTGAAGAGAAAACAGATGCTCAGAAGTTAAACATCCCGTGCAATCTCACTTGACTGGAAAATCATCCACTTAGTACATATGGGGGATGGATATTTGATGAAAGACAACATTTTTATTTCTGTTGTATTTACATAAGTATTTCAATTGTTACTATTTTATTAGGTTGAATGATACAAAATTGTCAATACCAATTGTCTTTGCTAAACAAAATTTCATAATTTAAGAGTTAGTATTATTAGCATTGTAACAGGTTTGTCCCTGTCCTATACCACCCTAATGCTCACCCACTAAAATTAAATATTTATTCTACATGAGTATAAGAATTCATAATTTGTCTCTCTGTCAACATAGAAAAAGCCAAACTTTTGATATACATTCTTTAAGAAGTTAATCAGTGACTATTTGAAACTTTTCTGAATAAGGCACAATTCTGAATAATGCAAAGGTAAAAGAAAAGATGTTTTAATTTTAGAAATGCTATTAAACCTCTGAAAATACTAAGAGATCTTCTACCCGGGGAATACGATGGCTTTATATTCTAGAATTTCTTCAGTAGTAAAATCTTAATTTGTGGTGTTTTAAAAGAAGGTTTAATTGGTATCACTTTACATCCAGTGATAACAATTGTACTGCAATTTAACTAAGCTACTTGGTTTACTTTCATGTAATTACACATTAAGATTACTTAATCCATGCAATTATATACCAAAACCACATTTTCCACAGCAAACTGGTAATGGATAGTTATGTGGGTCAAGAATTTTAACAATATAAGGTTACTTAGTAGTTTCTGTTCCTTACATTAGAATGTAGTTATTTGCCATGAGCCTATTACAGTGTAATTTATGCCATATAAAAGTATTGTGGTTATTGTTTAAATGTCAAAATGTCCTAAAACTTTAAAAGTTCCATGTCAGACTAATTACTAATTTTTTTAATGTGGAAATGAATTAGCTAATTCTCTAACATTGATTTCTATGACATCAGATTTTAAAAGCTTAATATGAATGTGTTTAACTTAACAATAGTTAAGTTTTATATTACAGACAATTTTCAGTTTGGAGGGATATACTTCAGTATTTTATCTTATTCCTCATGAAGCTGCCTGTTAGAATGAGTGTTAAATGTTTGCTGAATGAAAAAAACAAAAGAATCATTGAATGCCTGCATGCATGAATGAATGCTAAAATGAGTCTTTAAAGTGGGAAGTTTGTAACTATACCACTCTTATTTCACAGGGTTGTACTTCCAAATCTGCTCTGGCCAACTGATAACAGTGTGTAACATTCAGCCCATGTAGTGTGTAAATAGGCCAAAAGTAACTCTTGGAAGAGTGTACTGAGCAGCTTGAATAAGACTGGGGAGTCATTCGTGTCCCTTCCAGCTGCTACCCTGGCTCCTGGAAATGGGTTACACTAACTATACTCAGGTGACAGAGATTCCAGAGTGTTGAAAAGCAGAGCTTGTGGCGCCCTGGCTCTGAGAGGTGTGGAAGCTTGATGCCCTCTGTAGGCAGGCAGCAAGGCCCCCTCAGGTGACAGCTCAGAAAACTGAAGTCAGGGCTCTGCTGCAGTTCTGCTTCCCACACCTGTCCAGCTGGTTAGATGAATGGGCACGAGAGGGTGCTCTGATCACAGGAGATAGACCAGTGATCTTGCAGTCAAGGGAGGCTCCCATGAAGCCATCTGGTGACATGAGGACCTGCAACGATTGCCCAGTGACTCAGGTCCTTTTCTAATTTCTACTTATTTTCCTTAAGTTTCAGAATGAACTGAAGTTTAAACAAGCAGTCATGCTCCAGCTGTCTCAGGAACAAAGACCATTTGGTCCTTCCTTTCCAAAGAGGGTCTCTATATGCCTATGAGAAACAGTACTTCATTTCTTTTCCATTTATTTATTTACTTATTTATTTATTGGCCTACATTAGAGGTCACCAAAGAGAAGAGTGAATTCCATGTCCTGGAAACTCTCTGGGGAAGAGCTCCAGTATAGAATGCTGGAGCAGGACAGGTGTGGGCACCATCTTCCTGATCACTGTACAGTGTCTCTTACCCATCCTAGTGTCCTGGCCAGAAGATAACCATAGCCTGACGGTGCTGCCTCCCTCTTTCCCAGCAAATGATGGAACTCAAAGGTGACCTCCATACAAGTGATGAGAAAGTATTTAGGGATAGTGGGGTGACATTCAAGCAATGTTTTTCATTTTACCTTAGATCAAATTGGCTGCAAACTGGATCTGAACCATGCCAGTCCACATGAAATAAATAACTCAACGAACTCACAATCATAATAATATTATTCCTTAACAAGTTCTCCCTTAGCTTATGCTACTGGCTGACTACAGGCACAGGAGAGTCTCATCATGGTGCCAGGCTATGTATCAGGACCCCTGGCAGCATGCTTTCTCTGTGTCCGTGAACAGCATCCATGGCCCCTGAATGTGGGACAGGGCGAACTTGTATGAGGATCAACTGATTCTGGAAAAGATATGAACTATTCAAGACTTCAGGGGGGATTGTTGGTAGCATTGAAGTAGTAATTTAAAAATATTATCATCCTCCAGAAAGTGTGTTTATAATTTTAAGTAATAGATTCAATGACCATTGCAAGTCATCTTAAAATCTTAGAAGGTACCAATGGCAAGTCTGTATCCAGGTTCTTTAGAGCATTTATGAGTTTAAGTTCTAAAGAAAGTTTCTTATTTCTTGTGAGGCACGGTTTCAAAACTGAATTCATGGGGTTTATAAGAGCATTAAAAACAAAGACATAGGTTAAAAGTCCAATGTATTTGCTTTCCAGATAAAATGTTCTTGATAAAGGGCAGCCTCACATAGCTCTGTTGTTGGTAAGTGGACTTATACATGCCTTGGATTGCGTCATGTCTAAGAAAAGGAACAACTACAGACAGCACGCTGGGGAGGAGATGCTTCCCACAATGCTTGTAAAAGAACTGCAGTCTCTTTGCCATTGGTAAGATCTCCTACTGGAGAAAAGTACACCCCATTCATACCTAATGCATTAACAGCTCCCCAGAAATAGCTCAGTTAAAGTGTCACCTTTATTTTTTAATAGAATTAAATACTTTATTTTTATTTATTCATTTCTCTTTTGCAGTAGTGGGGTGAGAACTCAGAGATTCATGCTTGCTAG